CATATAAATATTTATTATAGCCTGTCAAACCAATTTTTTTCTTAGTGGTGAAATTAATTTTCATAGTTGCCGAAATTATTAGAGAAAAATTATTTGAGTTTCTTATATTAAAATACATGAGATTTATATAGAAAAGGCGAATATGGTCTCAGTGAATTGCACTTAGAGAGAGCTGATTGTAAATGGAATAATGTATAGAAGAATTCAGTAAAACCTTTAGAACATGTGAAAGAAAATTATCTTCGGAAATAACATCTCTGAAAAAGTCCGCCGGACATTCTTCAAGTTGAAAATTTAATACATCTATTGATACGTGTCTTTTATTAATATTTAAATCGACTAAACGAAAATTCATAAAATTAGACAAAAAAAAAAAAAAAAAAAAAAGAGTATACCAAGAAATTCGGAAAAAAGCGTCATGGCATAAGTATTAATTGCTTCTTTGCACGAACAAATCAACTGTACTAAATTCTTCCATTGCGTGAACCCAGCAAAATTTTGCCCTATCAGTAAACACACGAAGGACAATTGAAGTTCTCCTAAGAGCTCTTTATAGTCTAATATTTAGAAATAAGTAGAAAGAAGTGGTTTTAATTAGTTATAATGAACATCTTAGAAGTAATTCCAGCAAATCAGCATAAAACTTTCCATTTTTATATGTAGAAGCAAGAAGTTCGCATAATAGCCAACTCTTATCTAGACTATATTTCGTTACCTCTTGCCCAACAGCACCAGTTCTCCAACTTTTTGTTAAGTTAAATTTTGTAAAAAGAATAATATCATCTTGAAATTTTGACGATCCCCCAATGTTTAATAATTCATCTTCATCTACTGTTGACGATGAAACGTTATTCATCCTTCCTTCATTAGGTAATATACGAGAAATCAGCAAAGGAGTTATATAATTTGTTAGATTAACCCATTTTTTCCAATCTGTTGGCGGCGTTAATGGATATGTGCCAAGAAATTTATCAAATTGACGCATGTCTAATTTATGAGATGTTTGTCTTTAATTAGTGCTTAATTTAAATGTCAACAAAATAAATTAAGGAAATATGAATTAATACCTGATTTTAAACGTTCATTTTGTTCCGAATCTGTGTCTTCACTTTTCTTTAAATCTTCTATAGAAGGGTCCCAATATTTGATCACTACCTAAATAATTTAAATTAGCTAGTCTTATTAAGCAAAAAAAATTTTAATTAAATATAAATTACCTCCTTTGACTCATAAAATTTAAAAAACCCATTCCTAAGTCAGAAGTACCAGAATTATCTGAAGTACTTTTTTTTTTTTTTTTTTTCAAAAAAAAAAAAGATTAGTTGAATAAAATAAAAGATTGTGCCTTTTGAATTTTAATTAATTAATCAAACCTATAATAAACAAAATGTAATCCTGGGGGAATGAGCTTTACGCCTTTAAATCTTGGTCCTATTTGCCATGAATTATAATCTATTCCAAACTTTTTGTCATTAAAAAAAATAATAAAATAAAATTATAAATTTTCAACATTAGACGACGTTAAGAATGGAAAGATAAAAGAAATAAATCGAACCTCCAACCCTTCAGGTGCATTCAGAAACAACAAGAAAGCACCTTGATTAAATAAAACTTGTGCTGTTTCCTGATCCATATCTGTTTAAGAATTTTTTTAGCATTAATTTATTAGTTAATATATGTTACAATCTTATTGGATTGATAAGAGTCATATGATTAAATCTAACTTTAAAAAAAAAGATCAGATTTTAATAGAGAACGAATTTATTTACTATCGATAAGCAATCTATAACAAAGAAAAGCAATTAACCAATCAAAGTCAATCATACAATTCAATTTTATTATACTTTTTCTTAAATTATTGGATTGAATTTTATAAATTCTTATCATCTAATTTTTAAAAATCAAAAAAATTGGCCCGTATGGATCTCAATTTCAAATTAGGTTAAATATCACAACTGTTACGTATAACCCTTATTATTAATAAAAAGTATAATAACCTTTTAATAAATCTAATGATAACATTTTATTTGATAATTATCAATAAAGCTAGCTGATTTCGCATATATTATTAATTTATTATTGCATGTATATTTTGCTACACGGACAAGATATCAAAAATATATTTGGCCTGTATATAAAGCTTATATAGCTCTATAAAGTTACCTAAAACAGTTTTTTTCAAAACCTCTTGTGTAAAGAGTTATAGTGATTTAAACAATTCACGTAATTGTCGACTATAGTAGACTTATCGTTATATCGATATAGCGAGATTAATTATAAGTTAAAATGGGCTTGGTGCTACAGAAAAGGGGGAAATCAACAAATTTTTCAAAACTTATTTTTTTGTATAAATCAATTTAAAATAAGATTATAATTATTTTTCACTTAAAGCACAAAAACAGTTGTCTTAATAAAATCTTGTAGAATAGCTTTTTGAAATTTGTATTTTCTTACGATTTATTATAAAATTTATAACATAAAAATTGATTTTCCGAAGATCTTTTTTTTTGTCAATTTCCCCCTTTTCTGTAGCACCAAGCCCAAATGATCTTCAAATTGGTTGTTGATAAATAGAGAAAGTTTAATAAGAATATAAAAGGAAATCAAATACATTCATTCTACCTATTAAATGTTTATGAATAGGAAAATAAAACTATAAAAGTTTTTATTTATTTATTTAATGAGGTAGCGAATGAGCAAAGTTACCAGACCGTTTTTATTTACAGAGCGACATGAACTACAGTATTTTTGGTCATGCGACTTATAAAAAGAATACTTAAGAAAGACAATTCTCATATATGAGTAATGACTAATACTAATCCTTTAAAGTGTATTATTTTTACGATAATGAAATAATAATGAAAAATAAATAATTTCGTTATAGAATATTTATCATCATATAATTATACAGAGACTTCTCTAAATGTACCACAGTTAATCTATCATAAGTACGCATTAATTATGTATTCCCTATTTAAATACACTAGGCTTCAATCTCAAGCTTACAGAACTCTTAATAAAATGCTCTCCATAAATGCACATTTTCGAAAGTTTAACCTACATTCCCAAGTGAGTGCATTTATGGAGGGTTGATTGTATCTTGTACCTATATTTCTTTTAAGTGCACACTTTTTGGTATGCAATTATAGAAACTTATATAGAGTTAATTATTAGCTAGAACCAAATTACATTATATTATGCATTTAGAAAGAATTACTTTACATAGCGTATGCATTATAGTGTTCTAAGTCCTAAGCTTGGAACTGGATTAAAAGTGCATATAGAGGGTGTATATTTAGAAAGGTTTCTGCATCACTCAAAACCGAATATTTTCTACTATATAGAATATAATAAGTTATATACTATAAGTGAATTTGGAATTTTTAATTTATTCAGAATTTAATTACTTTAACTATAGGAATTAAGCTAGGGTCAGGATATAAGTTATATCTAATACGTCATACGTCAGAATGAACTTATCATAGATTAAAATCCACTTAGGTTGAAATGGAATGGAATTCTCAAAAGTGGTCCGGAAATTTAAAAGAAACTTAAGCTGATTCTAAATTTAAAAATCAATAAATATATAATAATCGATAAATTTAAAAGCAACTTAAGTTGGTTCTAAATTCGTATTTTAATATATCGAGTAATGATAGTATGTTATATTTAGTGTTGGCATTCTATTGTTCTATTGAATAAAAATTAGAATAATCAATAGAATAAATTTTCTATTGGTTCTATTGATTCTATTGAAAATTCTATTCATATAAAATATAAAAATTTAATAAAATAGCTCATAAATAGCACTATGAAAACTAATTTTTTTTACTAAGGTCGTTCGAATTTGATTCTTCGGTTAACATCACCCCCAGCTGAAGGCTCCCCCGAGAAATGAACAACCAATCAACTCACTGTCTAACTCTCACCACTCCCTCCATTCACATCGACCAATCAAATTGTTTCATATAAATT